CCCGGTCACTATAATGGGGTATTAGGACCCACATGGACCGCAGGGTGAGCGCCCCCTGCTGGCCCCACTAACACCTCAGCAACAACCTTAGTTTTTGCCAGAAGGTCTCCAATCCAGGTACTGACCAGGCTCACACCTGCTTAGCTTCAGTGGGTTGCCAGTTGTGAGTTGCAGGGTGATATGGCTGCTGGATATAATGACTACTAGTTATATATAATATATAATTTTTTGTTTGATAAATATTTTCTGCTTTATGTAGAAGAGCAGATCAAAATAGTTCTTCAGGAAAGTAAGCTGGGGTTTATTGAGATTGTTGCAGCAAGTGATAAATGTAAAGAACAGATGGATGCTAAGGATGCCTCTTAAGAAAGGATTTATATAAAAAAAAACGGTCTGAGCTTGCAAAGGTGCCACATGGTAATCTTGGTAGCTGGATATATTATTGTCATCAGGATTACTTTTTGCTGTTTTTAGTCTAATCTTTTAGATTTTAATTTAAATATTTTCTGTTGGAGCTTTACAATTCAGATGGTTCAATGTTTATTTTAAAAAGTTGTTTCTTTTTATAGCTCTGTACCTTTTCCTTGTATGCTTTTCAGGTTTGATAACAGCTACATTTAGTCAACACTAGTAAATGTCTATAACTCTGTTACAGTTTCTTGACATCTTAACTGTTCTGTTACTTTCCTTTCCTTAGCATTTCTTCAATTACAGCAGTCAAACTTCAACTGGCATTGTTGTTTTTGCCAGCTACCCGAAAAATTCTGAAAGCTCCCTATTTACTGGAGCATGGGGGTGAAATCTTCCTTGCATACAAATATTACATTCAAGCCGTGAATACTGTGGATGGATTCTGAACTTAACAATAGCATCTCAGCATGTGCTAATTGATTCTTTTCTGCTTTGCTTTCATCTTTTCTGTTTTGCTTTCATCACTGGGTTATGTAGAGGAATTTCTATTCTAGGACACTTAACATAAGGAGTACTTAATTCATTTTTATTTTCTGTTGCTTTCTGGATAATAGAAGAAATCAGGGTACCAAGTAAAAAAGATGCCAGACCATATTAAAATGTTAGGTTTTAGGCCAGATCTTTTTTGTTCTGACTTATTTAAAAATATAATATATAAATGCTCTTGTTGATCAAATGGAAACCATTAATTCATTTGAATGTATGTGTTACTATCAGGGGTAGACCTACACAAAACTGATACTCTTGTACAGCAACTTGTACAATTTAAACGACAGACAAAATGTTACTTTGTTTTAGATTTATAGTTCTTTTACTTCCAGACTAACAAACCTGCCTTCTATTTTAATCTTGAATTTTAGTGCTTAGCATTAAAAAATCGTAATCATGTTTGACTTTAGACTGTGTCTAAAATACATTGTATTGTGTACATTGTACATTGTGGTAATTGTGCTTGGGTAATGATTCATGCATTACGTACATTTATCCGGTGCAAGTTGTTGGAGTAGTAGTTCTATGATTATAAGTCATTATAACGTGGTAATGCAATTATCAAGACATTTCATTTTTTTAGTGACAGCTAACTCCTATATGGTAAACATCAATTGTGCACTGTGAGGCGTAGGCTACTAAATTGGTGTGCAGAAACCACCAGTCGATAAAGAAGATAAAAAATAAAACTAAAACTCGATAAAGAAACTAATAAAATGTTACATACTAACATTTTAACATTACATACTAACAGTCATGTCTGAAAATGTTATGGTATCAGAATGCACTTTTGTAGAGTCAAAAAGCAAATTCATAACCTGTTCCAACTCAATTGAATGTTCAACTTTGTAATCGTGTAGTATAGTAGGTTTTTCAGGTATTAATAGCACAAAAGCTAAAATCTAAACAACTGCTTAGGAAAATACAAAGGGGTTTAGAGTATTTTCATCTCTTCTGATGTCTGTCAAACCAATTAACAATTAACAGTAAGTAGTTCATTTTTGATGAGTAGTACTGCGACTCATTCCAGTAATTACTAATACAATTTTCATTGGTATACTAGTAAAAACCATAATAGAAAAGATCTGGAAGGTTTGTTTGCCAGTGTTTCTAGAAACATTTTTTCTTGAAGATTCCCAAGAGGTGTTGCAGAGACTAGGGTTAATAAGGACATAAGGAATAAAGTGTACACACGGGGAGTGGGAAACCACAAAGGAACAATTAGAATTAATTCAGAGCATGAGAAGTAGAGAGAAAAAATAACACATTGTTTCACATGTGGTGCCTTCAAATGTTAAGAAGCAAACTCTTAACTGAAATGTGTGTGTATATATATGTATAATATATATGATTATCCGTGATGTATATGAATTCTCAGTGAGAATGTGGTTAGCAAAAGTGGTTTTCAGAGAATTTGCAGATTGAAGTTTTTTGTGTAGACAGTTATGTAATTGATCAGCAGGCTAGCTTGTATACAGTGTCTCTTACAGGTTATATGGAATCAATGGAAAATCTATTTTATGTCTCCTCAATTCTATAAGGCAGTCTGCATCTGCTGAATGTGTTTTAGTAGGTCACAGGTGCACTTATATTGATGATCCTGTTTTGATAAGTTAACTGCCGTGAAACATTCTAACAAAAGCATGAGAATTAAAGATATAATCATGGCACCATTCACAATAGTCTTTTGTAATAAATGTTTAATACTGTAGAAGGAACTATTTGACTTACCTAAAGAATCTTTTTCCTTGGCCTTGTAGTCCAAAACTAAAAAAAAGTTCACATAAGCAAGTCTTAAAGGAAATGGGCAAAGCTTTTCTGTTGCAAAATTCCTATCCTACAGGTGAGACATATTGACAAAACAGGCAAGTTCTGACTCAGCAGATGATTTAAAATGAAGGGATAGCATGTATCTATGTGATTAATTGTTTTGATCCAAAACCCTCGCAATTTGATGAATAGGTAATGTGGTGTCAGAAGGCGGTTTTTACTCCAAGCTAAACACCCCGTAACCCTTCATTTTGTTTTTAGTTGTTTTTCTATGCAAGTAACTTTAATGTGTCTGTTCTCACAGAAAGTGCATAAAGTTTAATTGTCCTTTTAAAGAAAAGAAACCATCTTCTTTGTGCTTAATTCAAGCATTCTTGTGCTTGAAATGCAAATAATTGAAGTCTGGAGATTGAGATTGCAAACTGAATTACAGTATTGTAGTAGTACGGAGAGTGCAATTTAGAAGTGCTTTAATATCTTTTTCAATTTAGTGCCTAGTTAAACACTGAAGCAGAAGACAAACTGACAGTGGGTAAGATACTGAGTTTTTTATGTTACTTCCAGCTCTTGTAGATTATTTGTTGAGCATCAAGAAGTGTAGACCAAAATTATCTTGCTAAAGGTTATGTGTAGTTAGATAGAATTGCTTGCTTATGTGTAGCACTTTTTGTTCAAATGTGCTTCGGTATATAGGACAAAGGTCACCAACTTGAAGAGCATCTTAGGAGTTCGGCTTGTCCAAGTGCACAGTGGACAATGAGAAGTTAAAATGACATTTTTCCCCACACAGGAAGGCCCATAGCTTTGAATAGATGGGTATTTTGTGTTCTGAACCATGTGATTGACATAGTAAAGTTCAAGTTATATCTTCAGTTTTAAATAGGATTGACTGACAAGTTGAATGGTGTAGATTCCTTTCTAGCATCTGGGGTCCTGAAGAAGTGTCCCAGGACTGGGAAAGGTTATAAAGTGTTACTGTAATGACTACTTATAATATATACAGTGAAAGTCTTAAGAAAAGATTCACAAAACAATGAAATATTATTTTAGGACAAATATGTATATATACAGAGAACATTAAAAACACCAAACAAAAACACATAGGTTCAGGTTTAGTAAATGATTTAAGGCACTTCAGTCAACTGGGATTTGCCAGTTGCTGCATTTTACTGAGGTTACAGGAGATATAATAAAGTTGTCATGCAACCATAACCTTGCAATCTTTTGGGAATAAGACCTTCTTCAGGTAATAAGGCCAATGCAATATTTTAACTTGACTTTAATTAATCATTTTCTTACAAGACAGGAAAATTTAGTTTGGTAAAAATAAGAGATCTTTCCAAGACCTTCAACAAAATCAATGGATATCCATTGTTTAAGAGTAGGCATCATGTTTTAGTGACTTCCTAAGTAAATCTCAATTTACAGCAAAGCGAGCTTGAGTTCAAAAGGAGTGCAACATTGCTCCCCTAGTGGTTACAACCTGTATAGCACTGGTACATTATACATTTCTAGTACAAGGCAAAATTCTAAACCAATTTGTTTTTTTTTAATTAAAAATCCTCAACAAGAGCTGTCAGGTTAAAAATTGACCATTTTTCTTGGCCCTTGTGGGAATTTCAGCAAGTAGAAAAATACTGTGCTTGAACTTTACGCCCTTTAGCAAATTGATGTAACATCTTTTAACTAAAACTAAGATATTGGAACAGCATTGATTTACCTCTATACTCTTTTTGGTTAAAAGTATAACAAATAGATCTGCCAATGAAGTGGGGTCGTTATGCTCATTTTTCTTGTTTGATACTTTAGTAGCCAAGTGAATCTAAACTTTCCTCTAGCCATTGCCTAATGGTGCAAAGAGTTTGGGCCTCAAACACCAGGGTGAGATCTCTGTTTCATCCCTTTTGTTCATTATTGTCTGTCCTAAATGAATTCTGCTTCGGTTTTTGTGACCCTGTGCCTGTTTTTGTTTCACTAATGTACTCCCCTAGGTTGAACGAAACCGGTCTATATCCTTTAGGTTTTTTGTACTTGGATGAAACCTCCTTTGTTCTGAAGATATTTAGCACCCTCAAACTGTATGTGTACAACATTGCCCTGAGAAATGGAATCATTCTTGATGCTCTTCTTTGTGTCTGCTTTATTATTGCTTCTCCTCAATGTCTTGATGAAGAGATCGAAGACTTTGCATGGTTACCACCCAGTTCAATTTACCTTTAAAGGAGACTGTGCTTTTATGACTTTTTATATCTATGCTTTTTGTTTTTTAGGAGTTTCAAGAGCTAACAAGTATATCTCTGGATCTGACTGGTCTTCACTGGTTAATGGTGGAGGTCCTTACTAAGTTGATGTGGTACAGAAGATGTTAAAGAAATGATAGCAGCACCAGAAATACAAACGGAGTTTCATTTTCCACAGTAAGTGAATGCCTGTCTTTTTGCTTTGTTGAGCCTGTTAGACTTCTACGTGTGACCAAAAACAAGTATCTGAAAGCTATGTCCGTTTCATTTTCAAAATTAAGTACTGTTTTTTTTAAGGGAAACTGATACACATTTCTCTTCTGATACGGACTTCGAAGATCCCGATGGAAGGAATCCAAAGGCAAGCAAAGGAAAAGTAAGAAAACATAGTTATTTTTTTATACTGTAGTGCATATTCCAAAACAGTGGGTTAAACGTTTTGGTCTGGATTGTATTGTGTTGTGTTTTCCAGTATTTAATGTTTTCTTCTGTGCACTTTAGACTGTCAAGAAGGGCAAGAAGGTCACGGGAGAGAAGGGAAAAGCTGGAAATGGAGGAAAGGGGGGAGGCATGAGCCGAATGAATGGACACCATCAGGAAAATGGAATGGAAAACATGATGCTTTTTGAGGTGGTGAAAATGGGAAAGTGTGCCATGCAGGTTAGTATTATTCATATCATTATACATAGAAGAAAGAAAATAGGTATATTTAAGCTAAGCATGTGAGACATAATATGGTATATTGCCTGTGAAATGTTTGTCCATGAAGATTACAAAGTTAACATGATTGAAAATGCAAACCTTGAAACCTTGAAAATGCAAATGAAAATGTTGATTTAATATTCAAATGTTAGATAACTAGGGTTTAAAATTACATAAATAAAAGATAAATGCATAGTTGCTAACAATTTGTAAATGTATGATTTTAAATGTTGATTACTTTTGTGTTCATAGTCTGTAGTTGATGACTGGATAGAGTCCTACAAGCATGACAGAGACACAGCACTGCTGGACTTAATCAACTTTTTCATTCAGTGTTCAGGCTGTAAAGGTAGGTGAAGCTGTAAAGTCATTTCAACACGATTTGGTTAGTAAAAATACAGTAAAACTTTTAATGCAGTGTTTTGGATTTAGCTAGTCTGTATGCTTAATTTACAGTTCAGGCACCTTATAGTTTTGGTTCATATTTTAACAAGAATAACATATGTGTAGTTAAATGAGCCAAGCACAAAAATACTGTTAAAGTAGACATACACCTTTAGTCCTATAATCTTTGTTGTCTTACAGGTGTTGTAACTGCTGAAATGTTCAGACACATGCAAAATTCAGAAATCATCAGGAAGATGACTGAGGAGTTTGATGAGGTACAGTTTTAGTCAGGTTACCTGTTACGGTATTGATAGCCTGAGATAACCATATGAAACCCATGTATTTTATAAAACTACAAGTGCGGCATATTTGAACAAAATGGTGTTTTATCTCCATTCACTCAGTGCCATTAATCTAATTAAGAAATTATGCTTGTGCTTTACTATTGTTGTTAAAGTTAATATTCAGTGTTATGCGTAAAACAAAAATAATCTCTATGGTGCTTTAATAATTTATTACCAGTAATTTACATTTTTTGTTACCTCAGTGGATATAACTTTTGACTCATTTATTAATCCCATTAGTACTATACTATAAAACAGCTTGCTTGCTATGTACTAATCCATTTTAATTCCTAAAAGCTCTATTTTTGGTTTGATTTATAAATACAAATTTTCAGTCAATTCCTATTTATCATCATTGTAATAGGCAATATACATTGCATCAACATTTTTGTTTATGTTTTTAAATAAGTTAAAGTTTTTAAAACAAAGTGTTTTTGAATTACTGTTCTTGAAGGAATTTTGCACTAGACATAGTAATTACAATGCATAAATAACCATAATTATCTCTTTTGATTTCAGGACAGCGGTGATTATCCATTAACTATTGCTGGTCCACAGTGGAAAAAATTTAAATCCAGTTTTTGTGAGTTTATTGGGGTACTGGTTCGACAGTGTCAATACAGCATCATATATGATGAATACATGATGGACACAGTAATCTCGCTTCTGACTGGGCTTTCGGACTCCCAGGTTCGAGCTTTCAGACATACCAGCACGTTAGCAGGTAACTAGCTTGAATTAAAAAAACTTTTTATAACATTTAGTACTGGGACAGACTTCATTTATCATTTATCACAAGTTTTTTTTATCTTGACAGATTGTTTAAAGACTTAATATTTTTACAAAACTGATACAGAACATTCCAAGCATAGTAGTGCTTTACCACAAACAATATAATGCATTAAAAATATAACAATTCAGCTGGTTGTCATCCTTTCCAGGTTCTACAGTTATGAGGTGAAAACTATCAGCAGAGTTAAAAAATCAAAATTGGAGTAACTGTTCATTCATGTAAAAAACATGCACGAGACCAATATATAGGCTTAATGTTCTGCAGTGGGATAAACCACACTAGGTAATTTTATCGGATATAGGTTTTAATTTGTGACGTATAAATGTTTGCTCAACAGCCATGAAGCTGATGACCGCCTTGGTGAATGTGGCACTGAATCTTAGTATCAACATGGACAACACACAGAGGCAGTACGAGGCTGAGCGAAACAAAATGATAGGCAAGAGAGCGAATGATAGGCTGGAGCTGCTCCTACAAAAGCGCAAAGAGGTAAAGTTGAAAGCAAAACTAGATATTCTCACTTAAAGATTGTTGGCATGCCATCTTTGCATCCAAAGATTGTTCCATAGTTTTTTTCCATGTTTTTCCACTGAAAATGGTTGTTTTAATGTTAACATATGGATTACAAATTCTCAAAATGTTGTCAAGGTGAGTAACTCTTGTGGCTTGAAATTATAAAGACCATCCCCTCCACAATTCCATTTCTTTAGTCTCCACTGCTTAAATACCTGATGTGCTATGGATAATCACCATGTTTAAGAGATGTAAGAATACAGGTTGGATTTTGAAAGACTTAAATTTGACATCAAAGTTCAAGGCAATGCAGACACCTTCCGACCACTTGCTTTTTTTAGTCCTTTAGATCTTTTTTCCAGGTTTTACAGCCAGAGTAGTGCTTTCCTTCTGTACTTTTGTAATTTCTGAAGGATTGGATGCAGATATTGCTGTTAAAAATAAAGGAGGATATTCAACACTAAATATGAATAATAAGCGAGAGCTATCACAGGGAAGCAGCTACAAAGCAAAGTGACTTCATTTAAATAAAAATGGCTTAGTAAAATGAAGGCACTACAAATAATAGTGTAGTGGTTGTGCCTAGTATTTTGATAATTAATGGCATTGCATGTTGTTTGAAGTACATTTAAATCAAATCTGGCATGCCATAGCAAATTAGTTTGACACCCTAGGCATAAGCTGACAAACTCAAGTTCACAATTTACAAAATGGCAAGTATCAGTTGTAAAGCATCTTATATTTGACTCTAGCTGTTGCTTTTCCATGGTCTGGAATTATCTGAATACTGTACTTAAGGACTTCTCACTGTGAAGGATTTATGTTTAGCTAGCAGTGTAATTAACATCTGAGTTACATAACTAAAGTGCCTGCTGGGTCACCATCTGGTTATTTGCATTTAATACAGAAGGCCTTCACGCAGCGTAAGGTTTTGTGTGCATTTAGTTTTACAGTATATCAGTCTTTTTCAAAAATTGACTATTTAAGGATATATCTGATCACTTTAAATTAATTTGCACTTTTTCTTCATTTTCTTAAAAAATGCAGTGCAATGTATTGAGTGCAGCTCCTTTTCTCTTGTTGACAGACCTGTACTGCAAGTCGTAATGCATTTTGTTTTTCAAATTTCCTTGCAGCTTCAAGAAAATCAGGATGAAATTGAAAACATGATGAATGCAATCTTCAAAGGCGTTTTTGTTCACAGATATCGGTATGAGTTTGTTTCTCCATATGGGTTTTTCCTGTTATATGGTTCTAACATGCACAGTATAGACATCTTTCCAATTCCGAGAATGTTAGGATTAAAGAAATAAAATCACAAAGGAACTGAAATAAACTGTAAGCCTTTATTGCAATTGAACTTATTTGATTGTTGAGGTTTAAGACCATAAGTGTTACAAAAAGCACATGTATTTTTCTCTTAGGGCTGCACGCAAACAGTAAACAGATTATTTTTTCTGCATTTGTCTTTGTTTTATTTGTAAATTTTCCCATCTTATTTTTTGCTAACTTTTCACAGGGACTCAATAGCTGAAATTCGTGCAATCTGCATTGAAGAGATTGGTGTCTGGATGAAGATGTACAGTGATGCCTTTCTCAATGACAGCTATTTAAAATATGTGGGGTGGACCATGCATGATAAGGTAAATTATTATTAAAGATAAAAGTATTTCTCCAGATTACTTAATTATCCAGATTATCACAGAGTTAATACTTTTATATTGCTGTTTTTTTATATTATCATCTGAAACAGTTCATAGCACACAGTCCTAAAACATAACCATAAGGCAGCATACGTAGTTGCCGGCCAAGTGGTCATGTAAGATTCTCAAAGAAGATACATATCCTTTAACAAAATCATTCATGTATATGGTCTTAGGCTTGCAGTAAGATGGTAACATGTTTCATGTTTTTTGAAATTATGCATAATTTTGTCCTTTGCATAAAAGCTGAACATAAACACTGCTTTTTATGTTAATTTAATTTTTACTTATATAGGAGCATTTAATCCAATTTGTATCATTGTTTTATTGTTTCAGCAAGGGGAAGTGAGGCTCAAGTGTCTTACGGCTCTTCAGGGCCTGTATTACAACAGAGAACTCAATGCCAAGCTTGAGTTATTCACAAGCCGTTTCAAGGTGAGCATTTCTGAACAAATTTCTGTGGTTTGTCATGTTTTCAGTTTGCAAGAATATATGCCAACTAATTATATTAAGCCAAACCTAAAAGTCCATTGCTCAGCACCATGACCTGCAAAGAATTGTTTAGTGAAAGTGATGTTTTGATTGTTTTTAGTATTACTAGAATGTTTTTATACTATTGAATATTCAAAGTGTCCTACAGATGAACAAGGAGTACAAGTAAAAGAAGGCCATTATACCCATCTTGATCATTTGGTTGTTTCCTTATTGAGAGTTAATCGTTGGTATACGTAGAGCATGTCAATGCATGCTGAATTTAAAAATGATTCCTTTATAATATCTCTGTTTCTTTGCATAGGATCGAATTGTGTCGATGACACTGGACAAGGAGTATGATGTTGCAGTACAAGCAATAAAACTTTTGACCCTTGTTTTACAGTGAGTATGTTTATTCAGTATTGGCTGCATGTTTACATATGACCAGTGTACTCTGTTACTTTGCAGTATAAATCAAATAATAGTGTTCTATATGATCTTTAGATGCACTAGGGTTAATATTGTTATTGATGTCACAATCTTATTGATTCATTCATTCTTTTATTCATTTGAAAATGGAGGCAGATTTATGTGTTATTTTCCATTCATTTCTTTTTTTAAATGGTCTGATACCACATACGATAGGTGCTCCTTTTGGAACACATTCTTTCTTTTTCAGGAAAAACGTGTTGGGATGCTCACAAATTTGAACATGAATTCTGTTGTTTTGTGTTATACCCTAAAAAAATTTAGACAACTTTAAAGTCTTGCAGCTTGTAAAGAACATTTATTTTCTCTTTACAGTAGTAGCGATGAAGTTCTAACTGCAGAAGACTGTGAAAGTGTTTATCACTTAGTTTATTCAGCTCATCGGCCAGTAGCTGTTGCAGCAGGAGAGTTTCTTTACAAAAAGTAAGTCATTTTTGCTTTAATTTAATTGTTTACATATTGTTTGTGTAATTATGAAGAAAAAATATTTATCAATTTACTGAATCACACAGAGGACAAAGCTTAAGCATGTATGGATTCATGAAGTATACGAAGCAGCTCTTCTAGGCATATTGAGTAAACCCAAAATTATTAACTATTCATCAGTGGCACAATTTCAGATGAATGTTTATTTGAAAGCAAGTTTTGCTTCAAAGTTGTATTTTTGTAGGTATATTTTGGACCCTTTTGAATATTTTGGACTTGTACTTTCGTGTTGAAAGTATACTGTGCAAAAGTGTATAGGCTGTGTGGATGTCTTTGTAGTAATGAACAAATCTGATCAAAGTTTTATTTTTAGTGTGAAATATTAAAGCTTGTGTTATTCTTCCATTTTATGCTGTGTTTTGCATGTTCACATACAACACTATAATATACTGTGCTTGCAGAGCTTTATATGGTAATAGTAAAATTAGCTTCAATGGTCCTTTCATAATATAAAATATGTATTTTAGTTTTACAGAGTAGAATGATACACAAAGGATCAGGAAAATAAATTGGTAACAAGAATCTACATTGTTAAGGACCAGTGTTCTAACAGCCTTATTTCTAAATGTAAAATATTTTTTTAAAGCAGTTTGCAGAGAAGCTGTAGTAAAGACCATTTAGTTTTATTTCAATTGCTATAAGCTTTAAAGTGTGGTTTTGGTAATGCCCAACAATTTGTAAATCATGTACAATGCTATTCAGCTTAACAAGTAATTTAATTATATCTATATGAAGCTTAAGATAATTGAGGTGCAGACTTCTGAAATCTCTGCCATCTGACCCAGTTACATCCACAGCACTTAAATGTTTGCAATTTAAATGAGAAAACCTCAAGTAGTTTTGAAGACTTCCAAGCAAATCCTCACCCACTTACTTTGACAGTGCACCTAAATTAAGGGAAAATGGTAAAAGGGGAGTACGACATTTAAAGATTTAGTTAGGAGTATGAAGCATGTTTCACTAAGCAGGTAATGTCCCATTGTACGTGTAAAATCCTTAGCTGCAATATGCAAGACTGAAGTAGATAGTGTGATGAAACCTGCTAACAAAAAAACTGATAGACATCAAGCATTTGCTATGTACTTCTTAAATCTGTAAGCAAAACATCTTTTGAATTTGGAATATTTAATGTCATTGTGATTTTGTTGTACAGGCATCAGATTTTTAACTTTTATCACTGAGTATGTTGGCGTCCTTCATGACAGAATGTTTTGTTGTAAATTATGCCAAATTTGGACATATTTGACCAGAAAAAGGAGAAAAGGGGATGAGGTTGATGCAGGATTTCATTGTTCGTTCTTCTGTGATCTGCTATGACATCTAGGAGCAGAAAGATGTTACTCCAGTTTCTATATAGGTATCATTTCTAATAGTTAAAGAGACACATTTCTTAAAGTTTTGTTATGTATAGTCCTTGGAGAATTTGTCAACCATAAAATAACATTAGATAACTGGCATATTTAAGTAGCACCTCTGTGTGCTGTAGTTGTCTGGAAGTGTTTTTTGTGCTGGGCTTTTGTTTCTGAAAACATTTTAGAGTATACGTTGTTTTTTTTCTTCTCTTTTCAGCATGAAATAAACCTATTATTTGTACCTTTGGTACATGTACTTTCAGTGTGTATTAGGCTCTTAGAAAAGTCCAATAGTTCATGGATGTTAACAGATTTTAGGATCCACGATCAATTGTTAAACATAAAATGCAACTTTTTTTTAAATCTCAAGACTCTTCAGTCACCGGGATACAGAAGATGATGGAATGCCAAAGAGAAGGGGAAGGCAAAGTCCAAATGCTAATCTTGTGAAAACAACTGTATTTTTCTTTTTGGAAAGTGAGGTAAGATTAAATTTTAGTGTTTAAATTATAATAGTTTTTAGTGACGTTATATCAATAGCAGTTAGCATACTGTTGCATATTAATGAATTAAAAACCTCTAGAACATTAATATCGTTATAAACCATTAAAACTTATCCATGAAAGCAAACATCAGTATTCAGAGGCATTAAATGTTCAGTTATGTGTTAAATGTGTTTAACTGACTAACTCCCATGGGCAGATATAGTTTCCGAAACTCTTAACATTCTACAGTGGCATGGGGATGATATTATCAACACAGTTAAGGAAAATATTTCTTCAAATATTATCAGAAATATCAGATGATAACAGTTAATAACTGAGTATCTAGGTTAGGAACTGTACGGATATAGGGGTTTGAGAAAATAGCCTCTGCTGTGGTGGAGGGGACTGGGGCGAATGACAGGTCAGGAGAGTGGCACGAACTGACAGGCAGAAAGGTGAGTTATGCAGCAGCAGGGTTGGCTGACTGTAATGATTATTGCTCTAAAGTCATGTCCCACATCATAATGCTTCCCAATGTCAAGCTCAAGATTAAATTTAAACTGCACGCTCCATATTGAAGGGGCTCAATCTCCATAAAATTCACTCCCGTCTTAACAGAGTGTTGCAATTTTCAAATCCCATCTTCATTGTGAACTTTTCATCATTCACGTCAATCGTTTCTTTTTGTGGTAGTTCTGGTAGTGAGTGAATGAGAATCTAAAAATATTTTCTTCACCAAATCCACATAATTATTCCTAAATATGGGACATATGCAGTGATGGAGCCTATAGCTACAGCAGAGATGTGTACAGGGTATAGTGCTGTGATGCAGTTATAGTGCAGGTCATCTGCAGTGGCATTGCAACACTTATTCTTCAACGTTGCATAAACATAATTTTTTGAATACTTAAGCAATCATGGCTTCCTGTTTTAATTTGTTTACTGCTTTGAAAGTGTTCAGTAAGTTGTATACATAGATTAATGGACTAAATACTTATGCAAGGCACTGTATGTCCAGTGTTTGCTATTATAGTTTTGATTTAATTTGAGCATTTTTGTGAAGTCATATCATTACAACCTTCTTAAACACCTAACACCTTCTTAAGCAATACATTGTTTGCACACAACCCTTAAATCTGCTGACATCATTAATACAAGGGCAACGTGTGTATATTGAGTTTGGCAATTTAAAGTTATTTAATGCTGACTGTTGAGGGTTCAAGTATATCCCAGGTTTTCCAGCAAGCCTCACAGAAGGGCACTTCCTCAGTCACCAAAGCCGGACTGCAGTGTATGCTCTTAATAGGGAAAACATGAAAGATTGTTAATCAGGGATGATTTTCAGAAGTGTTTGTTGGTTGGTAACCGTACAGCAGAATACTTGAGGTAAAGAAATATTAAGAATTGAGCCTAATCAACTTGATAATCAATCTGATAATTAAACTGTATTTACAAGATCTGGATTTCCCAACAATGTTCAAACACTACAGCACTATGTAAAAAGATTAAACATTGAGGTTGAGGTTTGAGCTTTATGATGATTGGTGTAGTAATGTATGTAATCATTTTAGCTTCATGAGCATGCAGCTTACCTCGTGGACAGCATGTGGGATTGTGCTTCTGATGTGCTGAAGGACTGGGAGTGCATGATCAGCCTTCTGCTGGAAGAGCCACTTCCAGGCGAGGAAGGTAAAGGGCTACTCTGCTTATATATGTATATGACTTCAGTAATGTGAATATTTTATGGGATATTGTTAGGTTACTTTTTTCAATTGTATTTTTTTCTGGATGTATTCTGACATTTGCATTTGCCGATACACCACTGTACTTGATTAAAATGTACATGGATTAAATTGAGTTTATACTCCTGTGCTCAATTGATATTAAGATATTAATATATAATGAAAATGTAATTGTTGCCTTTTTCAGGTATCTGTTGAGTGTGTCATGTATATATTGAAAGTTTTTGTTTGCATAAGCTATGATTTTTGTTTTTAGCTTTGACAGACCGCCAGGAGACTGCACTGATTGAAATTATGCTCTGCACCATACGGCAGGCGGCAGAATGCCACCCTCCAGTAGGCAGAGGAACAGGGAAAAGGGTAAGCAGTACTCCCGACAGAAGGTTCAGGAGTGCGATACAGTTATTGGGTTCTAATACAATAATTTTGGAGCTCAAAGGGGGGTTTCCATAGCTTAATTTTTTTCTTTGGGGGGACAAATCCCATGGATGTTATCAGTATTTAAGAGAATGTCTCTTTCTGATGTGCTCCTATTTTTTTAAAGAAAAATGCACTATTATGATGTTTCAAGTGGCTGTGTTGACAAGACCAAACAGCCAAATATTGTTTGGTCGCATTTGAGACTATGCAATGCTGATCCCGTGGTAAGGGAAATAAACTGTTCGACATTGGCCAAAATGGGTTTATTCAGATATTTTCTGAGCTAGTGTAGATCCAAAATCTGTAAGGTATGAATGTATTTGAGGAGGGCACTTCTTTTATTGTGTTTTTAGAATTTGATTCTACAGTGAAATGTAAAGACTTTGTACTTTTTTTAACAGGTACTCACAGCTAAGGAAAAAAAAACCCAGCTCGATGACCGGACGAGAATTACTGAGCTGTTTGCTGTATCATTGCCTCAGTTGCTAGCCAAGGTATTTTAGTTCACATTCATTTTGAGGATGTTTCTTTTTTATCAGTCATTTTTGATAATGTCATATTAGTAGATTCTGCTAAAAACCAGTTCCACATTTGATGTAATTAAGTTAAATTTGAATATTGTAAAGACGTCAGTGATCACATTATAAATTTCCCTTTTAATTAATTTTATTTGACAATTCAGAAAACCGGAGGTTTTCATGTTAGTCGCTTTCAATGTATGTTTGTCTTTGACCAAATATATATTTATATTTGAAGGTGAACATCTTTGTCATTTACAAAAATTAATGCAACTTTTTCTTGAATTAAACTGAAAATTTACTCATCTTGATATTCCTTTACTGTGTGATTCAAGAGGTAACATTGGTTGTGATCAGTGACTTTTAAATTTAGGCCGTCAGATATTTTATATAACATGCACGGTGGATTATCTCATTCTTTACCCTCGAGCATAAAAAATAAATTTGCCTCAAAAAGTAAAAAGTTCTGATGGAAGAAGTATAAGCTTTGTTTTTGTTTTTTTCTCCTAGTACTCTGTAGATGCTGAAAAGGTGACCAATCTTTTGCAGCTTCCACAATTTTTTGACCTAGAAATATACACAACAGGTCGGTTAGAAAAGGTGAGGACCAAAATTTGTAATTAATGTTTTTTCTTCATAATATGTTTGTACTAAACTTTTTTTGATTAGTAATATGTTATATTTTAAGTAATCTTTAAAATCAAATGCATCTTTATTCACAGCACCTGGATTGTTTGTTACGGCAAATAAGGGAGATTGTGGAGAAACACACAGACACTGATGTTTTAGAGGCTTGCTCTAAGACCTACCATGCCCTCTGCAATGAAGAGTTCACAATATTTAATAGGGTGGATATAGCAAGGAGCCAATTATTAGATGAGCTGGTGGACAAGTTCAACAGACTACTAGAGGACTTTTTGCAGGAGGTTTGTATAACTCTCCAATTACTTATGCATTTTAAACCCAGATAAAGCTGAAGATGGACAATTTAATGCTTATCTGTGTTTTTTATATTGTTACTCTGTTTCACAGGGAGAAGAGCCAGATGAGGATGATGCTTATCAGGTCTTATCCACACTAAAGAGGATCACAGCTTTCCATAAGTAAGAAGGCCTTCTCCTGCTTAAAGCTATACTTTACACAGTTGCTGTTCTGCTGTGATAGGCCTGGTTGACTAGCACTAGTTTTCTCTACCCTGCTGACACATAGCCAGTTGTGTACTGCCATTTGGATAATTCTAGTCATTGATGGCTTATATGACCCAGACTATAACCCACAATGTCTCCATTGTAGAGCTCGATCCAACTTCCAGCCTTTACTGGTTCAGTCACTTGACAGCTCCATAGATGTATTTTTTTCACTTTAAACATTTTTTAGTTTTGAATATAAAATCTTCAGCATATATTTTTCTTGACAGTGGTTTTTGTTGCATGTTCTAATTTTTTTTCTGTCTCTATTAGTGCACATGACCTCTCCCGGTGGGACCTATTTAGTAGCACCTACAAGTTGCTTAATACTGGGATTGAGAACGGGGACATGCCAGAACAGGTATTTATGGGCAATTTCTAATGTTTTCTTCTACAAAGGACTTTTCTCTATGAGAAACTTGCATGTTTTTTTTTCAGATTGTCATTCACGCACTGCAGTGCACACACTACGTGATACTGTGGCGTCTTGCCAAGATTTCGGAAGGCAGTTCTACAAAGGTATGCTTTTTTTATTGGAGTTTCAAATATTGTATCAGTGTTAAATTGTTTTTCCCTTAATGTGGAAGGGTTTGTTATTATTACTGTAGATTTTCTACTGTTTTTGTTACTGTAGGGTGTAAACCATCCTTTAAACAAAGTTAACAGAGTGATGGTAAAAAAATTTCATACAATTTTATCAAGGTACTTTGATCAGAATGTATTGAAAGTTTTGACAAGTAGGATATATTGATTGTTTCAGCATGAATTCTTATATGCTTTTTATACCAATGTGTGTAATATGTGGAGTGTCACCTTTTAGATTTGGGTGTTCTTGTAACAGTAATGTGGTTAATATGAAGTGTATTTTCTCGTCTTCCTGCAGGAGGATATGGTGAACCTGAGGAAACAGATGAGGGCTTTTTGTCTGATGTGCCAGCGTTACCTAACAAATGTAAATACAGCCGTTAAAGAACAGGTCTGTAATTTTGTAAAGTACTTATTTTTAAAATTTTTACGTACTTTATTTTTGTGAAAGATAAGATCATGAATAAATGAATGTCATATTACTGTGTTGGGTGCTGTAGTTAATGTGAATGCTACAGAATTTTGGAAAAGTCCCTAATGAGAAAAATCCAACTTAAGAAATGTAATATTGTTTATATATTAGTTTTGTAGTATAACTAAAATGTTGTTGCCCTTCAGACTTTACACACAAGTCAGGGACCGTGATCAGGCTCAAGACTGCACACGTGGGTGTCGTGTGTGATACAAAGTTCTTTTTTGTTTTGTTTTGATGGAAATAACAAAAACACTGCCTTAGCAAGAATTGTTTTATTGTTAACAGTTCCTGCTATGATATGGTGGCAATACATTTTTAATAATGTGCTTGGGCTAGAGACATGTATGTGTAGGAAGTGTGGCAGTATGTCACAACATTTTAAAATGCATACAAGTGTGCCAAGGAATGAAAAAACACTGGTGTAGGATTGTCAGTTTTCAAAGAATCTTATAATACTTAATGTTTACAGTGCCATGGCTTGAAAAACCAAATCAACAGTGACTTTTCATGGTATTTCAAATCTCTTGTCAATACCTATTCTGAATAACCATGTATGCCTGAATGCCTTTTGATGATCAGGTCATCCTTAGTAATTGGGTTCCCTTTGATCTCTAGGCTTTCACTATCCTTTGTGATGTCCTGATGATATTTAGTCATCAGATTGTATCAGGAGGGCGTGACATGCTTGAGCCTTTAGTTTACACCCCAGATTCTTCTCTGCAGTCTGAACTACTTAACTTCATTCTGGATCATGTATTTATTGATCAAGATGATGACAGCAACAGTGCAGGTAAGAGGGCTCTAAAGTGTATTGAATATATTAACATGATTTGTGTTATCAACATAATGATCTTGAAAGATTAGAAGATTAAAATTAATTGTTCTTCTAAGCATTTCTAAGCTTCTAAACATCGTTTATTGTACATAGTAAGTTTGTGAATTGTGATGTGTACATTGTCATGTAAAAGCATATTGGTCTATATTATAAATGAAATCTTTAATCCTGTCTAGCCTTGTTCAAACGTTTTATTGTACCATTTAAATTAAGACTTGTAGTTGGTCTCTTTACAAATTTAAACATCTGGTTGAAAATAAACTTGACATATGGCTATATAAATATTACAGCTGGTGAAAATCTAAAACCGAATAGCTAAAAATCCTCCCTGGTGATGAGTTAACCTTTAGTTAACATTTTATGCAAATAATGTTTACAGAGTGAGGGCAGTTAGCCTTTGGTTTCCTTCTGTTCATTTAGAGATTCAAGAAAGACTCTTCTTTTTCTTAATCAGATGGACAACAAGATGACGAAGCCGGAAAAATTGAAGCTTTGCACAAAAGGCGAAACCTCCTTGCAGCTTACTGTAAATTAATTATTTATAATGTTGTGGAAATAAATACAGGAGCAGACATATTCAAACAATACATGAGGGTAGGTCTGGAATACATTCACTTATTGTTATTATTGTGTGGTCATTTGCATGATTTTTTAATTATTCTTATTTGTATTTTCGTAGTATTACAATGACTATGGGGATATCATCAAAGAAACTATGAGCAAAACAAGACAAATAGACAAGATCCAGTGTGCAAAAACACTCATATTGAGCTTACAGCAGGTAAGAGCAAACCTTTTCAGTTTTAAGCTTAACAAGCTTTAAGAACATAAAATTATCTTCATTCCAGATATAGAAAATGCACAAGTATTTAAAACCTACTTCAGTGTATATGAGGAAATAATCGTTCTTGCAATGTACAGTTACAAAAATTAAAAACATTTTAAAACTTTTTTTGAAATCTGTTCTATTCAGTTTTTGATAACAAAATTGATTCTTTCCTAGCTGTTCAATGAGATGCTGTCAGAACTTGGGTATAATTTTGACCGATCTTCTTCAGCCTTTTGTGGAATAAAAGAACTGGCACGGCGTTTTTCGTTAACGTTTGGGCTTGATCAGCTTAAAACCAGGGAAGCTATTGCCATGTTACACAAGTAAGTCACTAGAATAATTGCATGGATTGCAAAAGGCTACTTTTCTTTTTCTTCACAAAAAGTAAAATGAATTGAACATTTTCAGTTTTTTCCATTTTCTTTCCATTTTGCTTTGCACACTGAAATTAAAGTTTAGATTTAAACTTGAAAAATGGAAGATTTGCATTTTCACATTGCTTTATGAAATTAAGATGCCCAGCTTTTTGTCTTGGAGTATTGATTTTAAGTTTTATTTTTGGTTTTCGTGTTCATCAAACACTTAAAACATGAGAAATCTGATTATTTTCAGAGATGGCATTGAGTTCGCATTTAAAGAGCCCAGTCCTCATGGAGAAGGAAATCCCCCAGTTAATCTAGCTTTCCTGGATATCTTAAGTGAATTTTCCTCCAAACTGCTTCGACAGGACAAAAGGACAGTGTAAGTCTCAATTCAGATTTATAATGTGAATATAACGCTTAACCTGAACAGTTCTTTAAGAAAAAAAAACATTTCAAGGATAGTTCATATGGTTTCTTGAAGTTATAGTGAAAAAATCTTCAAACTTTCTGCACTTCAGAATTTTTTCTTCTTCTAAATGCTTAATCTTTTATTGTCCCTTTGCCACTTGTGTGACAACTATGTATTAAAATTTAAGTCATCTGAAAATTGTGTAGTATGTGACATTAAAATTTGGCAAAAGGGTTTCAACAGATAACTGCCACTGCACATTGGATATTTTATCAAGAAGAAATGTCTGCATTGTTTCCATTTTGTTGCACTTGCCTAATCAGAATTGTTCTTTTGATATGTTTTTGCTCCTTCCACAGATACGTTTACCTGGAGAAGTTCATGACATTTCAGATGGCTCTGCGAAGAGAGGACTGCTGGCTTCCACTGATCTCCTACAGAAATTCTTTGCTTGCTGGAGGAGACGATGATACCATGTCTGTTATAAGCGGAATAAGCAGTCGAGGCTCAACTATGAGGAGTAAAAAGGCAAAACCTGCAACTGGGAAACGGAAACTAACGGAAGGTAAGGAAAATATCTGTATAAGACATGTAAATGCAAACAAGCCAATATATGTCATGGAACAAGTAATAGCTTTATTCCATGCTGGAAAAAAAGAAGAGAACATAACGTTTCGGCCGTGGAGCCTTTTTCAGGTGTTCTCACACCTAAAGAAGGCTCCACGGCCGAAACGTTGTGTTCTCTTTCTTCTTTTTTTCCAGCATGGAATAAACCTATTACTTGTTCCTTTGCAGCCTATGCATGCTGACTTAGCAACCCACCGATATATGTAATATTTGTAATTATCTGTTACATTTTATGTTCGAATTCACATCTCCAAATTAATTAGTTATAACATTTAATTGTTTATAGCTGAAGAAAGCAGCAGCAGTGATGGCATGTGGATGAACAGGGAACAGACAATGCAGACACCAGTTATGATGCCCTCACCTCACCTCACATCTACTGTCATGAGAGACCCCAAGAGGTTACGACCAGAAGAAAGCTACATGGGAGTCTACTCTTTGCCACCTGATCAGCAACAGCAACAACAGCAGCCACCTCAACAACAGCATCATCAAACACCAATGGACTACAAGTATGTACATGATTAATTAAGGGGAAGTTGGTTCAGTTAGATCAAAACATATGATTACAGAGTTCTGTTTAAATAAAAGTTGTATGTTGAGGCTTATATGATAAAGCAATTTTATATACCAATTTAGTCACTTGTTTTTCTTTTGAATACTTATGAAATGTCAAATCATGATGCTCTACTTGATAGCTTTAGTAAATATGATACAACTTGGTTCCAGACTCAACCAAACATATCAGAGAAAGTATCAAGAGGGGGAGAACAGGGTTTTCTTTCGGTCTCCCCTTCTCCCTTTCTTCCTTTCCATTTTCAAGACATTTTGGAAACTTGGCATTTCTGTAAGCCCTGGTCATGGCAGATAAAATTCTGCAAATAATGATAGTGTTTTCAAGGAATTACAAATATATAACTGTACTGTGTTCTCCAGTACCCAGGTAACTTGGATGTTGGCTCAGAGACAACAAGAAGAAGTCCGGCAGCAGCAGGAAAGAGCAATGAATTACGCCAAACTGAGAAGCAATTTACAGCATGCAATGTAAGGAATGTAATGGTAACTTTAAAGTGCAGAATAGAAAGTGAAAAAGAAATGCTGATGTTTCTGTTAAAACGATTTAGAAATCTTTAAATGTTGAGCCATGTATATTAAACAATACTCTTGATTTCCTTTAGTTTAGTGTTTAGTGTTGAACACTATGTAATTTGTCAGTCTTAGATTATGTTGTGGGGTTCATATATTGGTTATATATAGTGTCAATGAAAGTCATGTATATTTTTATTACAAAAGGTTGTTTTAATAACTACTAAAAATAATGAGTAGTTACTAAACTTGGTATGAAAATGCACAGATAATTTTTACAGTATATACCAAACTAATTAACAAAAATCCCTCACCTCATTATTTTTTAACTTGCTCCAGCCGGCGTGGTACAGGTCTTATGGAAGATGATGAAGAGCCAATTGTAGAAGATGTAATGATGTCATCTGAAGGACGCATTGAAGATCTCAATGAAGGCATGGATTTTGACACCATGGATATTGATCTGGTAAGAAAACATTTCACTTTTTGTTGGAATGTGCTGTTTATAAACTGAATAACATGCTTTGGTAGTGTCTGTCATTTGTACATATTTAACATTCATCTTGTAAATCTTCTTTAAAATAATTTAGATTTATATTGCCATACCACCACAAGGTGGCATTCTTACTATATATAACTCATATGACGGGAAAGGAAATGTTCTGTTCAGGATTCAGCGTAGCTTTATGTACAAACAGGCCAGTGTTTTATAGCTCATCAAATTAGGGGACAGAGTGAAATCATTAGATTATTTTTTCTGTCAAATAGTAGATGTTAAATTTTGATGTGCTGAGTTGTTAAATTCTTTATCAACAACTTTGTTTTATTAAACCTTTTTTTCAGCCACCATCTAAAAATCGCAGAGAAAGATCAGAACTGAAACCGGACTTCTTTGATCCTGCTTCTATCATGGATGATTCTGTAATGATTTAACCATTTCTCTAAAAATATTTTGAGTAAATGTTTATATAAAGTATATATATATAAAGTGTTTGTAGTTAAGCCTTATTAGGTGCATTGTACAGCTAAGACTGAACCTCTGTCGAAGTTTTTGCATATTTCAAGTATGATAAAATCTTGGTAGTGTCTAGTTTTCTGTGCATATGGGATTATTTTCTATTTTACCACAAGATGGCAATAAGCAGCTGCTGAAGGTGAAAATAGATTGTACGTGAGGCGTTTAAAACTGATTGGATCAAAAGGTTAGATGTTTTTCAGTTGATTACCAAGTTTTTCACGTTTAAACATGCAAAGAATATACTGAAATCATGTATGTTTTAAAAGTCCCAACAGATATTGAACTTGAACATCCAGAAAATTAATACTTGAATGCTTGAATTAAATTGCATATGAATGAACTGTGCTCCATCATGTGTTCAACTTCTCGTTTTCTTTTATTTTTAGGTCCTTGGAGTATCAATGTTCTAAGCAGATTTTGTGGAAGATTTGCTAAGGAGAAAGACAATTTCTGTTGTTACAGTAAACCTCTTGATGCTGTACAGATGTTTTTTCTCCTCTGTGGAGAATCTTTATTGGACATGCTCATTGGACTAAGTGCATTGAGGCAACATTGTTTGCCTGCTGAGGTGACTTGTTAAAACTACTAAAACGTTTGCAATCATTGGGTAAGCTTTCCAGTTTTTAGTTAAACAGCTACTGACAAATTAGGAAGGATCTGGGATTTTTAGACTTCAGTTATATTGATTTCAGTAGAAGAATGAATGTTTTCAATTTACAGGGAGGCATTTTCAGCATTGAAACCCTGTGCAGGGAGCTATCAGAATTCTAAATCAGATTACAGTATTTTTAAAACTGGGGTGAATTTTTTTATAACTTAAAGTAGACTTTGTCTAATGTATAGCCCTTTTGTAATAGAACGTAATCAGATGTAAATTAGTAATTTATAAGCAGGTTGTTTCTGAATACAATGAGTATACATTTTTTTTGTTTTTTGACATTTATGATGTGTGATGATGGAACCTGTCCTCTTGATTCCTTGTTTTTTCTTTTTGCTGTATCATAAAAATAAAAAAAAGGTTCCAATGCCATGTGATCTTGGAGCAGATTATGACTAATGAGACATAAAGAAGTAAATCCCTGTTACTCTTCTGAGGTATCAATGCAGTGCTGGAAACTAATGATGATGACTATATTGAAGCAGTCATTAAGCTTACCCAAAGATTTAAACTGTTTGCCAGTCCTTTTGAGAGACTAATATTAAGGAAGAAAGTGCAAATCTTTCCAGTAGTGCCACTGTATTGTCTCTAATAAAAAGAGCTTGGGTATAGTATGTTTGCTGAAAATAATTTTCTCAAAACACAATTATACAGCTTATTAGAGTGTGGGAATAGGTATCTAAATTTTAAATAAAGTTATATATATATAAATTGGTGCTGATTTTATAATCGCGCAGTTTGTTTAGTTTTTCTTACTTTTAAATTCCAACCTAAAATTATAAGGTTTCAGAAATATATTAAAATGTTTAAAAATGAATGCATGTGTATTCATGCATAAAAAAGATTTTTAAATTTGTATTTTATATTGTTTTTTCTTTGTCTTTGCAAAGTCTTCAGGTTTCAATACCTTTTTTGTTTTCCTATATATGTAAATTAGTTTGGATAACAGATTCATGAAACTATCCATCATGGTATTCTGTAAAGTTCAGCTTTAAGTTTTTAAATTTTAAATGTCCTTTCACAAATCCTTAAATAAAAAATCTGTAACATACAAATCTTTAAAAAACCTATTTGGACATGAACATTATTCTGCAATGCTTGGGCAGCTAGACACAGCTTAAGTATAACATTAACTTATAGTACAAAATGTACATTTTTGTTAAATGTCTTGTTTATTGAGGTATATTCTTTATAATCATTCCATGCCTTAATATGCTTGCAATACAAAACTCCCTGTTTTCTCTTGCCGAAATCTTCCATGTAAGTAAATAAAACTAGTTATGTTTAAAGGTTTAATTATGGGGCTGTGGTAGCCAAAAACCATAGAAATTGACTAGTGTTATATTGACAGAAAAAGATTAGAAATGCTATTGACACAGCATATGTTTGTTTTACGTAATTTTTACGTAAGTAAATACTCTTATGCTTTGAAGAATACTGCCTAGTGTTTTTTTCACACCACTGCATTAACAGAACTGCTGAAAGGACTGTATATATAAATTTAAGTGCAAGCTGATTTTTTTCTATTTTCAAAGGTGTGTTTCTTTGTGTGAGCAGTTCTTTAAAGCTGTATGTTTTCAACCAGCTTAAAATGTTTTATATATATAAATATATTTACCTTAACCTGTTGTCCCCCCATCTTCTGTCGTCCACTGTACTGTTTCTGATTTGTATTTGTCTGGAGACAGTAACTTTTTGAATAAAAGTAAACCTTCTGCAGTTGTGTGATAATCTCAAGTACCATAATGACCAGCAAATGTTATTCCTTTCAGTCATTCCCTCTTCAATCTTCAAATTCATAGCATCTAATAAAAAAAAAGTTTAACTTTTATATTAGCTCTGTTAAAACTAATATAAAATTAGTTATACTCCCGTGTACCCTGGGGAATCTTGTGGGAGTATGGGTTGCCTGGGCTAGTGCTGTGTGCAATCCAGTCCCTGTATTTGCGGGACAAGGGTTGTACCTGCATTCTCAGTATTAAGTCGTCAAGCCCATTGAAGTAAGAGTTGGACTCCGCTTAGGCCTTGTCTTGTCTCCTGTCCTGTTTTGTGATTTTCATGGACAGGATGTCAAGGCACAGTTGAGGTTTGGGGATCTGAGGGTTGCAACAGTTGTTTGTGTCCTGTTTGCCTCTTCTGACTGTCATGTCTAGTGTTCACTGGAGAGGTGTGCAGCCGTGTTTCACAGATGGAATGAGGGTCAGCACCACAAAATTGGAGGACATGGTTGTCTCACAAAAGGAGTGGCTTGCTTACTCCAGAAGGGGCACCACCTGTCCCAAGTGGAGGAATTTAAATAACACCGGGTGTAGTTCATAAGTCAGGGTATAGGGAAATGCAAGATTGACGGATTGGTGCAGTACCTACAGTAATGTGGACACTGTAACGATCCGCTGCGGGGAAGTGGGAGCTAAGTTTTTGGACCAAGTTCTCATTTTTCCATTCAATCTATGTCCCCGTCCTCACCTGTAGTCATTAGCTTTGGATAGTGACCAAAAAAAGTAGATTGCAGGTGCAAGTGGAAGTGAGATTTTGCCATTTGGGCTGCTGGGCTTGTTCAACATGGGGTGGAGAAGAGCACTGTGATCTGGGAGTAGAGTCGCTGCTCCTCTGGATCAAGAGGTTGTTCAGGCAGTTGGTGAGAATGCCCCCAGCGCACCACCTGCTGGACTTGTACTGGTTATGGAAGACACAACATGCTGGAGGGATTATATCCTGTAGATGGCCTGGGAGCATCTGGGAATCCTCCAGGTGGAGTTTGGAGACTGTAGCTGTCGGAAGGGAAGTGTGGTCTGCCCTGCTCAGCTGGACCCTTACCTGGAGTAAGCAGTTAGAAAATGGATGAATGGGTAGATCTTAACAGTTTAAATGTTGCAGTAGCTGAAAAAAATATAAACCTAAGTTAAATATTAAGTTTATATTTGTCTTGAATGTAGAATATATTTAAAATGAGAGTGCCATATAATTTAAACTTGTAATTCTAAAATTGATATTTAATTCTTTGTAAAGTCTTCACATTTTCTGTACACCACGTTTTGACCACATGCATAAAATAATTTCCAAGTTAAACCAAGGCATATTTGTGGTAATTGTGTTTTAAGAAGGGAACAACAACAATAGCAAATTCCTCCCTGCAGTTGGTAAGTCTAAAATCCATATTTAAAAACATTTGCTTGCTTTCTTACTATTGGCCCCTTTTGACATTTGATTTTGCTTCAGACAAAATAACACCTTGACATGTTAATTGCTTTCTTGTCTGACTACGTTGTCCATTTGAAGAGATAATTAGCTTTTACCTTTTTTTCTGTATTAATCCAAAAATAAAGCTTGCATCAGGTCTATTCAGTTCTGTGGGAGAGATTTTTTTTAACTATGAAGGGGGTGGAGTGGCAGAGGATTTATCGAACACTTAAATTTCCGTTTACGAAAATCATCAGTTTAAAATCATGAACATTTTAAGTTGCTTAGCACTCACTTTTGAATAAAGGTACAACAAGCCACTTTACATCATTGTTGCAAGTTAAAAGACCACTTTCATTGTCGAAAACTAAAATAAGGCTTGGAGTCGTAAAGCTGATGCAAAAGCTGAAACCTTGTTGCGTGAAGTTTTTATTGGAGTATTTGAACCATTTTAGGTGTCATTAGGTAGAATCATAACTTCTAACTTGCAAAGTAGTCCATTGGCTACAGTTCTGTTTGTTAAAACTGCTGTAAAGGTTTTTGAGTGATCAATTTCATAGCTGTTTTTTGTTAATTATTTTAAATTGGGATAGTTTTACATCTTTTAAGTTGCAAAATTCCTGTTGCTTTTCTGAATAGATTTCTTCTTGTGTACCTGTAGTACGATAGATTGTATGAACATTGCACAAGGCAATGTTCTAAGAATCTCCCGTGCTTTATAGAAGCTGCTATACATAAGGCAAGCAGTTTAATGAAAGATTGTTTTAAGCTATGAAAAGGGGGTGGGGTGGGCGAGAATTTATCAAGCACTTTAATTTTCTGCTGTTTACACAAATCTTCATTTTGTTCGTTTCATATCTTAAATATTTTAATTTAGTGTGCACTCACTTTTGAACAAAGGTAACGATAAGTAACTGCGTATTGCAAATTGAAAGACCACTTTGCAGCTACTGTGAAAGTCAAAACATGAACAAGTCTAGTTGTTTAAGTCTGTTCTTCAAAATCGTTAACCGCTGTTGTCATGGTTAAATTGTTGAGGACTCCCTCTTTTCTTTTAGAAGTGGGTTACAGTTGAGTTTTTTTTCTCAGTTTCAGTAAAGACGGCAAGTGGGGCATTCCTGTTATTGGGGTTTCTTTCTAATGCATGGCATTCTCGATCGAAAAATGTACTAAATACAATTAGAATGGAATATTGAGAAGTCATCTTTAAGAGTTTTGCGTACACATTTTAAAATGTAGCATGAAAGTGAACCAGTTTGATAAATGGAAGGCCCATACTCACTATATTTAAACTTGTTTCTCTCTAATCTTTTATACATTGAAGTGAGAAAGGATTTCACTTTCTGATTTATATTAACGATGGTCTTGGCGTGTTCCAGGATAGATTTTTTTCTTCCTGTACTTCGCCATTCTATAGTACTTGCCCAATAGACAAAGTTACCTTTACAAGCAGTGCATAATCTCTTCAACGTTGAGGGAACACAGAAAAGGATGGACAGTTATGTCTTTTTATCACAGGCTTCATCTAAATCTTCAGCAGTGATTACTTCTTGGAATAAAGAATCGAATGTCACCAAAGAGGCCATTTCTTAGGACAATAGTTGGGATATTGCAAATTTATCTTGCATCCTACCTAGAGATGCGAGTTGGGCTGAATGGCCGCTGCTTATGTTGTGTCAAGCGTCAAGATCATTTGTAGATGGTGTCATTGAAACTAGTTCCTAGTTCCCTGTATTCCTCTGTAATGTGTTCCTGTAGTTCCTTCTACACACTGGTCGGTTCTTTAACCACTTCTTTACATGCTTTTGGTGTGCCCAGGGGTAAAATTCTAGAACCCTACTTCATGTTTTTTCTACTCTTCTAAATCGAGAGATTCTCACTTTGCACTTGGTACTCTTGCTAGATAACTAATTTGGATCTCTCACAGCGGCAGAAACAGATATGGCTGTTTGGCATGACTGTGCTGTTGCTGCCAATACTTTTGGGAGTCTCTTCATTCCTTCTACTGGCATCGCTGGATTCTATCCCATTGTGATGTTGTTTATATAGACCTTTCAATTGCTAAGTCTACGAATACGTTAAGGCTTAGATTCGTAAAGCTGAAAGCCTTGTTGCATGAAGGTTTTATTGTAGCTGTTTTAGGTGCTTTTAGACGGAGACCTGGAGGGAACTACTACTGAAGGGGGGTTGAGGAGGGTGTTGATATCTTCAAGATTCTGAAGTAGTCTGTGTTGGCTATAGTTCCACTTGTTCAATGTAAAGGTTTTGCCAATGGATACATTTCATGTCTGTTTTTTTAATTGTTTTAAATTTTGATAGTTTTACATCACAGTTGCAAAATTCTTATCTGTTGCTTTTCTCAGTATATTGTCGACGTGTCTGTATTATGACATATTGTATGATCGTCATACAAGGTTCTGAGAATCCCTCCTGCTACATAGGCCAGGCAGTGTAATGGAAGGATGCACACTGCTACCTCACGTTGCAGTTACCTTAAAGATGTTATCTTTGATTTAAGGTTGATTTTGCACTTATGGGAGAGACTGTATTAAAAGAACGTGCAACCACATTCAGTTAAGCTGCGTCATGATTGACAAAGCTTCTATTGTTTCAAAAGAGGCATAAATTGGAAAAGTACAGATACTATCTGCTCACCTGTTTCATAACAAAAGTAGAATTAACGAAAACCAGGTGGTTTGCCGGAATATTCTCAGGAAATTAAAATCCTTGCACATAACATGAAAGAACTGAAACATTTGTGGTAACTGATAGTTATCAGTTTTACATTAGATGGTCTGATTTGCAGAAAAATGCTTTCAAGCGGAACATTTAATGCAAACCTGGTGAAAATGCAGTTAATGTGATAACTGTAAAAAATTGTTTTTAATTTGACTCATGTGACCTTAACTTAGTCAGCTACACATTTAAGTGTATAGTGGTGGAAGTAGCTCTTTTTTTTTACTACTTGAACATTAAGTATTTTAAAGAGGTTATAAATATTTAATATTAAGTATAGGTGTACATTAAAAAACAATGTCCCTCTGATGCTTTAAACATTTTAGACATTGGATTTGAAAATGTGCTGTCTGATTAGCAATAATGAAAGAGGTGCTGCTTCTTCAGGATCAAGACCGTTTATCACTTAACCCACATACAAGATACAAAGCGTGAAAAATGAAGGCTTTGAAAATGGGTTCAAGTTGTTTTCAGCCATTGAAGTGTTAGACACTTAAACCATGTGTACAGATCTTTCCAAAAGTTTACGTAAGTCCATTTACATTGATATTACATCTTTGGGAGTGTACACCATTCTCTACAGCAACTCTAAATTAGCACGTCTTTATCCTAAGAAAGTTGTATCCTCACCCGAAAAGTTTCAGGTTTTCTAGACATGTTCTGACATGTTTATCTATACAGCATTAGGGTGTTGCTGTCTGAAGCATTGTACTGAGAATAAACAGACATTTTGTTAATAAAATACTATTTTTTCTTGTGTGGTATGGTTTAATGCTGTTTAATTCCTTTATTTTTATTAGGATGAAATTCCCTGTGAATATTACATCCAGGCTTTTCATGTTTGAAGTTCAGAATTCACAAGTAGGTTGTGAAATTGCAACTTTAGCAACAAATGTAAGTGATGAAATTAGATTGGTGTATAGTTACTCACCTACCATGTTATACGGGATATTAATAGGCAAAGTATTAAGTGATTCAGGCTAAGAGAAGTTTGGCAGCTGTGGTCAGAAATGGGATTCGATCCGCTTCTTCAGTGCTTCTCTGACCTCGGTGCCTTACAAGTGTCAGATCTGTTCAGCCAAAAGACCAGTGATGTGACCCAGTGGGTTTGGAATGCTTTTAAAGTTCCAGTGAGGTTACATTACTTTAACAGTTTCATATACCACATTATCCCAGTTAGACTTTCCCCTTCTAAATTCTATGCATCTTCCCATGACTGACAGGCAGCAGTCTCAGTGATTTAGACTAGTTTGTAACTTGCTCATAGCTGGTATTGGATTGCTCTCTCTCGGCCGTCTTCCAGCCCTGAGCTTTCTTACAGGGCTTCAATGTTTGAAGTTCATATCAGTTTCATTTATGAATACAGTAAATGAAAAGATTTGTATCTGTAGATTTTCTGCTACCTCAGGTCACGTAAAAAACAGCTAAAAGATCCAAGGATCTTGCCCAGCTTTTTTCTTGAAAGAACCCTGGATATTAACTATAACATCGTAGCTGGCAGCTCATTCAATACACCCACAAGCCAACATGTAAGGGAGACCCACATTTTCTTGGTTTAAAATGTACTTCCGCACAAAACCATAATATGGAAACCCACATTTTATCTGGTGCTCATGTAATATGTACCTACAGAATGAGGAGCTTATGGGCCACAACACAACAATTCAAGCTGTCCCTTGTGTGCTAGCAACAAGTTTTATGAGTATAGTTTCTTGACTCTGGAAGAGGAACCTTTTTTATTATAAATAATTTAACAGAAGCTGAATAAACTTGCTGACTGGCCAATTTACAACAAGAAACAGAACCGACTAATTTCATTTTGATGTTGGAGATGGAGAGACTGAACCACTTGTGATGTTATTTCCTGTGTTTCTTTCTTTCTATTCGTTATTATCTCATTTCCTGCACACCCCAGTTATTTGAACACTTCTCTGACAATACTTGCAACTTGCATCACCTTGGTTTTAGCAGCATGATGGATTCTTTGTCTGTTTATCATGGAGGCATCAGCCGGGAAACAGGTGAAAAACTTCTGAGTGCTGCTGGGAAAGATGGCAGTTATTTAATACGAGACAGCGAGAGCGTGCCTGGTGTATATTGCCTCTGTGTGCTGTAAGTATTGAGACAGATGCATTGGAAAATACATTTTCAATTTCAGTGCAAATTACAGTATCAGTGCCAGACTTCAGTCATCACAAATTCAGCAGTGATGGAGAAAAATGGTTCTCTAAAAAAAACTTTCTCAGAACATGATTGAAACTTTGTTGATTTGATGTACAAATTATATTTTTGGCAACAGCAGCACTGCTTATTGATGTTCACTTATGTTCAAAACAGTTACTGTAAAAAGCTAATTAGTGCATGTATTTTTATTGTATGTATACATTTTAGCTAGAGACGTATGTCTTCTGTACAGTTATTATTCACTTTAAAAACTAGGATTTGGCTCATTTAAGGTAATGTATGTCTTCACTAATTTAAAGAAATTAAAGAGATTAATTTATTGTTACATACTAATAAGACTGCCTCTTATTAACGTTTTTTTTCATGTTGAGCACAATGTCTTCATTCAATGGGCTTGGATCTTCACTAGTGAAACTACATTATAAAGTTAAAGTGTAGTCCAAATTGAATGCAATACAACTGACACCTAATCTGATCATGTTGTGCTGGAAAGAGTTTGAGTTTCAATAATGGTTGTGAATTTTTCAAATATTTGATTTATTAAATAATTACAAATATATTCACCATCTAGTGTTATTGGAATATGTCTTTGCTCTCTTCGTTTGCTTCGTTTGCTATTTAATGCCTGTGTTACCACAATTACAGAATTAAGATAATTGTAAATGTTAACCTGATGTTAATAAGTATCTCAGCATATAATTGCACATTATCGAATGTACTCTTCACTACATCATTATAAACACACTTTTACACATTTCGCAAGTCCATGCTGGCAAGTCAAGGTCTATAAATCCACTTTATAATCTAGGACATTTTCTTTACTTTAATATATTGGTATTGTTGTAGAGCAGCAACTACAGTCTAACTCTAAATGCTAAAAAAGTAGAAAGCAAAAAAAAAAGTTTGGCTGTGAAGCTTTATTTGGGTATTTGAGAGAGAAAGATTGCAGGATAATGAAACAGAGCTGATTGATAACCCCATCACTCTCAAGTAAAAACTGATTACTGATTGTAATCTTGACAAAAATTGTATGATTTGGTATTATTGTGCAATATAGTACATTAATTATTATGACCCCAAAAATGTAAACGTACAAGTTAAGGATAAAAGTGAATATTCCTGATCTTACAGTACATTGTTCACCTCATGCATTCCGGCCAACAGGATTAGCAGTTTTGTTAGCCGGAAAACCAAAAGTAGCCAAAAGATTTTCTGTCTGCCGTATTTGAAGCCCTCAGCATGTTTTAGATACTGCGTAATGAAAATGCACAGTACAAATGGCACACAGAAGAGTAGTTATTTGTATATTTACAAACATTTGGAAGCGAAAATGTATCCTGGACTATTACTAGTTCAAACCAAGTGGGAGCCGCCATTCGGTCTCTGGGCTTGTCACTGGATAAGTATTGTAATGTTTAGTAAATGAATAGCTCTTAAAAGAGCCATTGAAAAGGAGAGTTTAGTTGTCATTGACATCATTTCTTAAATTTAACCCACTGTTTGCTGCTTTTCTTTATGTAGGACACTAAGCTTTTAGTTTCTGTAGGCCCACCTCATTGCTGCAAAACTTAAATCTGGAGTCTCGCTTTATTTCAGTTAATTTTATAGTATTCCCATTGTTGTGTGCATTACATCATTTTTGCAGAACCCACATTAAAAAAACAAATTAGTGGGTTCCTGATATATTGCGTTTACACAGAAACAATGAAGCTTGAGAACAGAAGGTGCTGTGTGATGGGCAATCAACATAAAAAGTAATGTTGGATCGAAATGTGTCTTGCTAAATTGAGTTCACTGTTGAGTTCAGTGAATATATGGAGTATCAGGCTTTTTCTCAGGTCGTTGGTCATACCAAAGATTTGTGCATTGCATAAATTAAATTGTTAATAAAAAGATCTATAAGTAATGTGATGACGGTATGTTGCATTATGTGAAATTGTGTAAGCAGTACTATATGGATTTTAGTACTGCTAAATAATGGTTGTAGATGTTTCTGCTTCAACCTCAGACATCTATAGGAAGAGTCTTTATGACAGGTTACATTTTTTTTCCGTGGGATAAAACGAGTTCAGGATGTTTTTGTAAACAGTTGAATGAAAACAAATAGAAGTACTAATGTGTGACATAAAACTAGTTTTTGCAGTTAATATACAATGTAGGTAGCTGCAAATTGAAGTATTATACCCATGTCAGAAATAAGATTATTCAGTGACTCATTAATTATACTGTATATAGGAAATATTCCTTGTTAAACTAGTTTTGAACGACTTATTTATGGTATCAAGTAGAGGTTGAGGTGCTATAGTAAACTAATTTAAAACAGAGTACCAATAATTTAATCTAAAAATCTTTGTGCGTTTATGTGGAGAAAAAATAAATAATGTACAGACATTCCTTGTACAGACAGGAATTGTGTCTGTTACTAGTAAACTCACATATTTTAAGTAGGTATTTTAATCAAGAAGCTCAAAAACATGTTAGAAAAATACTCCCACTCATAAGAAATTATAGCACCAGAAAGTGAGAGACATGAATGCCAGAATAGAATACAAAGGAGAAGGTAGCAGGACAAGGCGATGAGATAAAATGTTCCACTTTGGGCAGCCAAACCATATGACATTTTCTCATAGAACAGTCTTGTAATTGAATTTGCTGCATGCTGAGGAAATCATAATCTAATGGTTTGGACATTTCATACAGAAGTCACAGTTTCTTAATTCATGCACTTCCTTTATTCTTTGTGACTCCCTTGACTTCTCTGTTCTAACACATTTAATTTTAAATTTTACATTTTTAAAGCTGTCTTGATCTGAAATTATGAATTATGAAGCGCTTATCTGCCATAAATTAACTTACTTCAAGATGTATTTTCAGATGCAAATTGAACACATTGAACATCATAGAATTTTTAAATGCTTTACAAATTCATCTTCTATAGGGCACAGAAAACACATAATGCTAAATCTTACTTCAAAAATATTATTCATTTAATGGACTTTCTAGCATTTCAATTGTGAATAATTGTGAAAAAGATAATATTCATGTGGTTATATACAGTACACTGCTTATAGAGTTATGCAGTGTGAGGCATTACAAACTATTGGTACCAATAGCTTTTGTTTTTAATGCCTCAAAGTATATTGTATATTATATGCTTATACGAATTATATATTATATATTAACTGATATGTCATTACATTGAGCTTCAGTGGCTTTTATGTGACCTCAACATTGCAATGCGTGTCTTCCAAGATACAATGTTTCTTTAGCCAGAAATGTTAGCCTTCCTTTTTTACCTAACGCAATAGTTTTTGCTGTGATAAGTTTGTGTTTTTAAAAGGGGACATTTCTTTTCAAAAGCCTGATTCTATTACAGTAATATAACTATGGCTTATTTAAATTGTAAATATATAGATTTTGCACTGAGAATTAATCTGAAGGATGGCTCAGCGAAAGTTACAAAATGTGTGTGAACCCAGAATAAAACGTTAATGTCTTAAATCATCCATCCGATGTCAGAAAGGTGTTCGCTGTGATATCAGTCAATTGCAGGGCACAGGCATATACACACTGTTTGGATATGCCAGTTAACAACGCCTGCATATCTTTAGAAGGTGGGAGGAAACCTGAGCACGTTGAGAGAACTGAAATAAACTTTGGAAAAAGCATGAAAACTCCACATACTGGCTGAGCCAAACAACAGCAGTACCAAGTACCACACAAGCATACCGCTGATTCTAATTCATATTCTGTTTTATGTCAAATGTATTGTCTCTTATAAACAACAGTTCCGTAAAATGATTTTGGGAATTGGAATGCAACGCAATTTATTAATGTCTTAAAAGTTTGAATTACTTCTAGAATAATTTTTATTTATTGTCTTGAGTTGATGGGAGAATGTTATTAAGATCTGTCATTTGGTTTACAGATTCAAAGGCTTTGTCTACACATATAGGCTGTACCAGGTTGAAGGGGGATCTTGGACAGCTGAGGTAAGAGACAAAAATGTTTAGCAACTGGGGCTGCGTTTTAATCCAAAGCAACACGTACTTGTGCCCATTTGTGCGGCAGAGCAATTAAGTGGTAAAGTCTGAGTGAAGCATTTTGCTCAAGGGTACCAATGCAGTATCCCATCAGGAAATTGATTTCACAATCTTCTAGTCTCAAGTCTACAGCCAATGACACATCCACACTGCTGTTTTGTTTCTTCTGTTCTCATATTAATTATATATGCATGTATTATAATCCACTCTTAGAACACTTAAGCCTTGGGTGGTAAAATGTCAGAATGATAAATTGTTGAATTTTTAAATACGGTAGACTGAAAATGGAAAACATCTGTCAAATTAAATGTTTTTTTTCTCATTCATTATTTGGTATTATGTCTCGTCTCTGTCTTTTTTTTGTGTTTTGCAAGATTCAAAATTAACTGATGAAAAATGAGAAAAGACCTGAAATAATACCATATACTTGAAGATGCACTGTAGACACTATGCTGAATGTTTGTTCGTTTTGTTTTTGTTTTAGACAGCTCCCGGTGTCCATAAAAGAATGTTTCGGAAGATCAAGAACTTGATAGCAGCCTACCAGAAACCTGACCAGGGCATTGCAATTCCTTTGCTTTATCCAGTTACCGTTGAAAATAACTATATCAGTAAATCCAAGACTGGGCACGATACTGAATCTTACATGCATTAGATAGAAGTTTGGCTGAGTCAAAGAGTTGTCAAAACGCCATCATTTTCTGAAAATGTCCTTTGTTACTCCCTCTGTGCAATGACTTCAGCTCAATGATACAATGTGCTTATAAAATGTTTTTATTTTGCAGACCTTGTATTTCACTTGGAGTTTTCCCTGTTTTTACATGAACTGTCCATTTAGCCATTTTAATAAGGAATATACGTGATCATCTGCAATCATTGGTGGATGCCGAGTGCTTCCCTATCTGTGATACGATTTGGTGTAACAAGATCAAATAAATGACTGCATTAGAAAAAAATGGCAAAATAGGATAGAGCACAGCTTTTAAAAAATCGGACAATTTGAAAGGTGTAAAAATATATATTTCCATTGAGAAAAAATGCCAATATTATTTAACTTTACATCAAAACTGACTTAAACTTAAAATATTAAAAATATATATTTAATTTAATAAAATAATTGTTTTCTGGATGATTATCTGACTCAGGCATAATAACTACAGGTCTTCAGGAAAGGATTGTATATTTCAAATATATTATATATGCCTCCTTCACCTGAAGAACTTCAATGGACGTTCTGTATAATACCGAACCATGACTCTGGACATTTTCCTTTCCAGATCAGATGCCAGTGGACTAATCTTGATCACCTTGTCCTTAAATTACTCCCCCCTCAAAGAATGTTGCATGTATTTGGATGTGGACTTTACAACGGTCAAGACCAACCAAAACTCAGTCCTGTTTAACAAGTTTAGCTTTTGAGAGACTCTTAACTACTTGCTCGTACTGTTAGAGAAATACCCACCCTGCATTTTTTAGCGCAGTCTGGTGAAGATGTGATTAAATGAGCAAAAAGATCAGTCTTTTCCTGAGGATACTTCACTGTAATTAATAAGAGTAGTGTTTTTTTTTTCTGATGCAAGTCATGAAAAATGCAATTTTTCTTTTAATAGATCGAGACAACTGAGATAATTACCTTTACATGTGCCCTGGGGCATTACTAAACACAGCATTTGATCTTCATATATATGTCAGTGGATTTATGTACATATATTGGATATATTGTGCATTTAACACAATAGAAATGACAACTTCAGTAAGATTTTCAACTGTTTACAGCTGGGAAAAAGGTGCAAATCCCATTCATTTGGGAAGCTCAGCACAAACATGCAATGCCAGTTTTATCTAGACCACAAGCCATAAGCTGTTGTCCAAGTATATTTTTTTTCTGCACTAATTTCCAAGAAAGGAAATTTTACTGGTGGGACTACATTGACTGACATAATGGCTAAACCATGACTGTGGAAAAAAATATTCCCTTGTCCTTGCGTCATGCTTTGTATTGTCACCCATGTGTTTAAATTAGATATATTCATAACTGGGGAAGGAGGAGAGAATCCAAGTGAACACCATATATTGTTTTGTGCACTCCTGATTAACAGGTTGTCACAGCTTTCATTGTATTGTAATTTTTGATTTTGTATTATTATCTTCACCGATTGAGAAAGGTTTTGATACAGCATAAAAATGTTTTGATGCAATATAAAAGTGTAAAACAGAAACAATAGTAGCTAAATTTAATTTCATTGTACGTTTATCGAAACATTAGAGACCATGTCTGACTGTGTTCTTAGAATACGTAAGATACGTTGAGAGTGTAACAACTTTCTAAATTGCATTTGTAGTTATACTGTGTCTTCATCACTTCAGAAAATATTATTGCCTTACTGCAACTCATCAGCTCTACACCTGTCCAGTCTTTCTGCAGTCTCTGCTTTGTTCTTATGCATTTTTTGACACTTCTGTATCTAGGTTACAAAACAACCAGGTCTTTCATTTAAGAGTTTTTGACACTTTTCATGCACTGATAATGAGAGGCGTTTTTGTTTTTCGTTTTGTCTTTGTTATTGCTGTTGCTGTATTTAACCTGTCCTAGGAACGTTCCAATCAAAACATCTACTGACGAAGAAATCCATTCCATTGCAAAGACAGTGGCAGAAACAAAATAAATACGTTAATTCCATCTTTTAAAACAATGACCAAGAAAAGCAGTGTTTTTTTGTTATTGTATGATACATGGGATGTGTCCTAAGCTCTAAAATCGCGGTCTGTAGTAACAGAAACAAAAGAAATGGTCATAATTTACAATTTTAAGATAGACTGCATTGTAGGTTTTAGATAAAAGATTTTCAAATACTCCTCTGTATCCTGATTATTTGCTGCATTACCATGCAATAAGAACTAAAAAGGAGAATCTATACAACTCTTCTACAATAATGTATTCCACCTAATCAGTGGCCGCATCACTCATATCAGCAAGGCGAGCAGCAACACAATGCTGCAGGCTGTCATTCACCAAACAAAAGGTTTTTGTGCTGTGAGTAGAATTTGCTTCACCAAAAAAATGAATTTAACTGCATGTTTGTTTTTAAACCAGCTTTCTTGGCGTTATACATGGGCAGAATTATCTCTGTGTTTGTAAAGAAAACGAGTGATGAAACCATGAGTTTGCAGTGTAAAAAACGTTTGTTTTGCCCCTGTTTTGTTTCTAAATCCTTAATGAAATCTAACAATTATTTTCTTCAGACCTATCAGAACAGCTATGCAAAGTGTATAGATTACTATGTGATATACACATTGTTTAGGGGAGAATTAATTACTCGTTAGTGTGTGTAAGTATTATGACCTGTAAATGTCATTAGTGGGTGCATTGAATGAGAACCTCTGGGTTGATGTAATAAGTTGCTTTTGCACTTATCATTTTGTATGTATTTTTTGGTATTTTAAAAATTCTTTAATGGATAAAATACTTAGATTTTTCTGTTGGAAATTGAAATATTTGTTTTCCTATATTATGGATACAAAATGGGTGTATTTTGTTTAATATCTCTCAGAGTTTGTCAGCATTTTGTCAGAGGGGAATATGGTGTGCTTTTTAACTTACTTCAGTACAGCAGTTAGATCTGTAATTTATATTAACATTCTTTCCTGCATAATTCAGAAATCATGAGTCAAACTGCAATATTCCAATCTTGGTTCACATGATATACTATATGGTTTAGAATTTTTGTTAGTCATTACTACACCCTTGTATAGCTCTGTGGTTGTCATTTCTGTTTTTTTTTTTATAAATGTCATATGGAAATATGAAATTTACATTTTAAAATAAAATTTATCAAGTTGTACATATTGGTATGCTCAAATTCTTGCATTTAAATGCACAGTTCCCTAATCCTTTACCAAGTTTTTGAAAAAAAAAAACAAGCAAAATATATTCATGTTATATTGCTTGTGCTGATAAAACATTTTAAATAAGTGATCTTCAGTCTTGGTTTTGGAGTACTCTTGTGTCAGCTACTTTTTGTTCTTACTGATCCTTTAATAACCTAATTGCTGACTAATTGAGCTGTTTGTTTGTCTGGGCTTTTTTCTGCTCTTAAGCCTTAGCATTAAAAATGTCCCCTTTACAGCTGGACCTGGGTAACACCTATGACTTCTGGTTTCCCAACCAACTTCTTCCTTACAGGGTAATTTCTTTTTTATTTCAGGCCTTTAAAAAAAAATATTTCAGGTCTTAAGCTGAATAAGATGTGTAATTGGTATGAGCTAGTTAGTGAGTTTCTGGTCTGCCCTAAGTCAGGTGTGTACCTGAAAAATAAACAATTAGATTTAAGCAGCAGGGAAAAGGCTGCTCAACACTGGAGTTGTCTGATACAGTATCGTTTTCCCTCAGACACTAGGAAACATATTCTTAATTAGCAGGTTGAGGAGAACCAGCATAAACATGCAGTTACAGGGCTATTGCAGGATCAGAAGTCAAAACTGCTATTCTATGCCATTCCTGTGCATAAAAGAATATTTACGTCTTATGATGTTCTGCAGTTTTGCAAGAATTAAGAAGAAGGGGACTGTGGAAATTTCAAAGGAAAAGCTGCTTAAAATGCGTTATTCATTACTGAATAAGTTATATTATACCGCATATTTATCGAACTGGGATCACTAAATGGATCTAGTTGAATCTGAAATCCTGAACATCAAAATCCTTAAGTTCTGAATTGTACATCAATGCATGTTAAACTAAAATTATTTGGACCATATATTTTTTTTTGAAGATGGTTAAAATATGTTCTGCACTTTGTTCTGCTTTGCTAACTAATATATTCTATTTTTTTTTCCGTTCACTTCCTAACTTTCATGAAGGCTTTTTCTAATATTACTCTGTTTCTCATTTCCTGTTTTTTGTAGAAAATTAGATCTCAAATTCAAAACAAGTTTTGTGTGTGAAAACATTAACATTAAAACAAACTGAAGCAAAAGCATAGCGATTTGCTAAATACATTATCTAGTGGCACTCAGCTAACTTTATATCCAGTATTTTAGAAAAAAAGTCAAGAACGAAATAGTCAAAGTTTAAAAAAACAAGAAAAGGAGAGATGCTAAATAAAGTAGCCACTACTTGTATTTCTCTTGGGAAGTGGAAAATGTCTTAGCTAATCAAGAGAACACCTGTATGACAAAACACCTCCTTTTCAGTATTGTAAGAGGCTTTGCCTTTTCGACTGGTGCAGTAGGCTATCTAGAGAATTTGAGGGAAGAAGAACAGATAATATTGTTCTCTTACCCTCCAATGTTCACTACGTGGTATTTATAGAAATAGAAAATGTAGAATATCACTATATACATTGTTAGATAACCAAATTAAAAGATGGAAAGACTCAACCAAGTATCATATTGGTTCTTGACATTTCTATTAGTTTGCAAATATTATGTCCGTCTGTTTTCAGTTCGCTTCTTCCAATTCAGGAGCGTGGGGTCGTCCTTCACAGGGCAGACACAGACATGCCCACATTCATGCAAAAATTATACACCATGGAATTATTCTTTTTAATTAAGCACCAATAGATCTATGTGTTACTTTGTTTCAAAACTTACCAAGAAGCAAAGCTGTTCTGTACAGTCATATTAAGTGTACCATTCTGTAAAACAAGAAAATATCATTTTTAGTTTTCTCTTCTCATGATGAAAGTACACGTCACATGGCTGGCATTAGAAATGCTACTAAAAGTGTTCTGATGGCATTTCACAAAGTATCATTTTCTTCAGATTGACTTGGGACATGTCTGACTAAACAATTTGGTGGGAAGAAGAAGAATGCGGTTTGTGTAACAAAGTGAAACAAAGACCCCATAAAAACGTACTCTTGCTGTTAACGAAGGAGGATGGGTGAGTGGCAGAGGTCTAGTTGTAAATGAGTAAGCAGACACAGCTTAGGTGTCAAGAATAAAGTGCAAAATATGTATTAGAGACCATATACACTTGAAAATTGGAAAAATAAAACAGAAAAATGAGACTCCTCAT